CCATCACGCGATCGAACTCAAATTAACCGGATAATAATGATAATAATTAGATGCGTGCATCGTCTACATTTGTACTCGATTGTTGTGGCACAAAATCATTCTTTGCGACCGCCGCGTTCTAGTTTTTATATAATGACAATTGTCATAATCTTGATACATAAAATATTCTTAAAATACAAATTAAAGTTTGTCAACTATATGAAGAGAATTTTAATTTAAATTTTTTTAGAATTCGTTCGTTATATGTTCAGAGTATATGTTCGATCTTTTATTAGAAAGGATTTGTGACATCGTCATAATTGAGAGTAAAAGAAATTTATGAATTAAATGTTAAACAGATAATTAAGCATCAATATTATGCGATTAAATATAAAAAAGTTCTAAGATTTTACTATATAGATTAAATATCCCATAATTAGTATGATTAAATATTGGTTTTCATACGTGACATACTTTCATCTCGGATATAATCGTATATTGATTTCCCGATACAAACGCACGTAATTTTTTTTTTATCTTTTGTTTAAAACTCGGAAAACTTTCTTTTGCAAGTTGTTATTCGCATAGATTCATCGATCCGAATACAGTGGCGCGAATCTTACGAATGTGGCCGGCTGGATCTTGTCGATTCTTCAGGCCGTTCAGGAATATGAAGTGATCTGGGCCGTGATCAGAAGCAGCCTAGAGCACGCGGTATAATCGCCCTGAACAGGCCGGAAGCTATTTCCGCCCCAATTTGCAATCCAGTAAATACCAGTGAGCCAGCGCCAAATACCACCGCACCTCAGTCTCAGACAAAAGCCGGTTGCTTCGCTTGCGATGTGTAAGGCTCTCATTGTTGTTTTGTTGCGAAACGTGCCGTTACGCTTTTTCCGCAATATGAGAACGGTATGCTCGTCCTAACTTGTTGCTACGTTTTAAATCGCCACGTATTTTAATCTGCGAAATCGTCAAATCGATGGAACATATATTTTTTTTTACGCGAACGTCGATTACCATTTTCAAGATCGTTATTTGATTATCTCATTAATTGACACGTGACAGAATGCGTTATTAAAGTCAAATAAAATCGATAGGAGCATTCTCGTAAAACTGGAAATATACCGAACAAGAAATTTGCTTTGAAAGTATCAAAAAATTAAAGTCTACATTGATATTGAGGTAATTATTCGATATATTATAAAATCTAGAAAATTTACCGAATTGCAATAATGAAATTGTGTTATAATGAAAATGGGATAAGCAAAATAAAATTCAAACATGAGTTAAGTATCACATGTTCTCAAATTTTCATTTCACGTATTAATTTTTTATTAAATTGGCAAAGAATATAATTTAATCCTTTTGAAAATTATTAAACGGGAAAATTATTAAACGATATTCCTAAACAAATAAAATTGCAAATAACCTTTTCATAATTTACAATATTCTTGTTATTCAGTTGGCATTTATAATTCGCAAGTATTAGAAATTTGCGCAAGTTCGGCTTCAATTTGTTTGCTTATTACGAAATAGAGTAGGTATACGGGGACAATGATGATATGCTGTTGTAAGCGGGAGATGCACACACGGTCCATCAATGTCGCCAGTGATCTGATTCGGAGCAACTAGTACTCTGTGGTTAAGACTGGTCGTGACTGGCACAGCTATTCCGACTACGACAAGCAGTCTCGCGCAAAGCATGTCCATGATTGACCAAGTGCTGCAATGTTTCCGCTTGTAGTCACGTGTGTCCGATTGTAATCCACGGTGGACCACTTTGTTTGATCTTCCTTAACCAAATTATCATTCCGCGGCTAATTTTCAGTATTTATCACGGTGATTAGGATATATTTCTGCCAGCGTTTAAATTGACAGATAATTATCAGTTTCGAAACCTTTTTTTTTTTTCTTTTACGGAACATCCGCGTTTGCGGATAATCTTCGAATACTTATAAGGATAATTTTATAAAGAAAAACAACAATTGGATAATTTCATTCGAGATACTATCTTGATATCGAAACCGTTTTACCCGATGTCGATTTAGTTTCCTTTTATGTACACGTCAGCGTTTAAAAGTGTTTTTTATTTTTCATGAAGATGAGAGAATGGCAATCTTCCCTCTTGTTGTTATTCTCCACAGTGTTCAACGAAGTATCTCGCACTTCGTGCCGCGCGACTCTTCTCGCGTTCTCTTTTTCTGAATGAGTTATTGTGTTAAAACGCCTTTTTATTTCGCACGTCCCACGCTATTCTGACTTACGTCACCCCGCATGAGACGCATTCGTTGCCAATCGTGAGCGCCAATAAATGCGCATCGTGCGTCCGCAAAGTTCCAGCCTCTCCATCCCATCGCGAGCGTCGCGCACAACAATCGTTTCCGTTTATTCGCTGACAATGCGCCAAACTTTCCAGTTGGTCCGCGCGTTGGCTGCTCGGCGCCGGGTAAGCTCGGCACGATGTATTTGCTCGGCTGTTCTCGGCCGGGAAACTTGTAAATTTATTCCCGGGAAAATTCAGGCGTTTGAATTTTTAGCAGGCCGACGCGCAGAACTTTCTTTCTTACGGTGGCAGCAAAACGCCCGCCCGCTCGCTTAATCGTCTAGTATAAGAAAGTGATTCTGCCGGAGTCAATCTCTCTCTGCCTTCTCCTCGCGAAACGAGGACAAAAAGGTCTCGCTAGAGATCCGAGAATTCTCTCATTCGTGTTGTGCGTTACTCTTCACCCTCTTCTTTATGCGAGAAGTGATTGATCGATCTCTCCTTCTCCTCCCCTTCTCTCTCTCTCTCTCT